GAGCAGGAGGGTGGAGGCTGCTGGGGACCCCCGGGGGGGCGGCCTGGGGACCAGGTGGAAGTGCCTGGCTGGCTGAGGCAGAACGCTGCAGTACAGCGAAGGTGGGAACCCACCGGTGCCAGCCCGCCCAGCTGGCAGAGCCTCCCGTGCCCCCATGCCCCCGGGCTCTCCTGGGGACGGGGGGAAGGCCAGCAAGAGGGGCACAGCAGCAGGGGGGGCCAGCTGTGGGGAGTTTCTCAGGACCATCAAGGCCTCAGCAGCCTCCTTCTGCAGCTGCTCTTCGGAGACGGGGGAGAAGAGGAGGCCCCTGGCGCAGCCACGCGGGAGGGGAGCCGAGGAGGGAGGAGGCTGGAAGAAAGCGAAGAGACGGTTCCCATGTCAGGGGCATCCGGCTGAGAGCAGGGCAGAGCCCCAGGCCAAGGCCAGGGCGGCCCCACATCGCGCCCTCCTTACACAGCTGAGGGGATCCAGCGTCTGTCCCTTCTAAGGCGCTGGTTCCAGTCCAGCCCTAGAGGAGGCGGCAGTTCCAGTCCAGCCCCAAGTGGGTGCAGGCGAAGGACGCCAGGAGTCTGGATCTGTTCCGGTCCCTCTGGCTGGGACTGGAGAACCACCTTCCCTCCCACTGCCCAGGGACCGTCCGAGGCCCTGGGGCGCCCAGGGCACTGGAACGGAAGAAGAGAACCAGCCGAGTCCGGGACGGATGCTTGAGCTTTGCAGCCGCCCCCTAAACCTGGAGCAGTGGGGGAGCATGCAACAGCACCCCTGAACCCCCAGATCTCCGTCCTCAGAGAGCAGATCTCAGGGCTACGCACCTGGGCTCCCGGCGGCATGGACTCCAGGTGGCCTCTCAAATCCAGGTTCCCATCCAGGGGGCTCAGCACCAGGCGGCTGGAACAGGCAAGAGACAGCCCATCAGAAAACACTGCTTGGCGGCTCCTCTCCCAGCCCCCGTCTGCCCTGCCCCTGGCCAGGGAGCCTCATGTCAGGATCCGTGCATGGCCTGTCTCCTTGGCTTTCCAGTGACGCTTCCCAAGAAATCCATGGCAGGAGCTGCCAGGTGCCTCTGGCGGGGAAGCAAATAGACTGGGTCTTCCGGGTTATTTTTTTCTTAACATGTGGGCAAGTCTTCAGCCTTTGGAGAGATACCGAGGGCCTGGAGTGCGGGAGCAGATGTCGAGGACAAGCGCCCTCCGTGCAAACAACGGGCGTCACCCACTTCTCCACGAGGAAGGGGACCTGCCCAGCCCAGTGTGGGGCTAGGCCAGGGGGTTAAGCACATGTGGGCAATGAGACCACAGTGTTGAAAGAGGGGGCAAAGGCGCTCCGTGGAAATCCTTCCAGCTACAGCCGCCACAGTAACCTCTGGCCCTTGAAGAGGAGCTGGGCCCTCCCCCGCGATCGCAGGCAGGCGTGTAGCTAGGGCAGGCCTCTGAGGCTATATCCACACTTCACTTCTTTTTCCGATTCTTTTCTCGCAAGAGGCTTTTCTGAAATTTGTCCTGTCTACACTGGGCCCAATTTCGGAAAAC